AATACAAATACAAAACTGTTATAACCGATATATGAACCTCAGCTTCCCAAAAACCGTACCTCTTCCTTTCGCCCATCACGTGTACATTGTCCTTCCCAAAAGACTCGGGCAATTTCTTCTTCCCCTAGAGATGGCAACTCCAACGTAAAAAAATTCAACATGAACAAACCAATCACCTGATCCGATGGTCATCTGACCTGTGAAGGCGAACAGAGCAAGCCCGACGCATCCGACCCAATCACCGAGAGTTGGCACACCGCACACACCTCTCCCTGCTTCACCAAAACATAGTGGGCCCCACAGTAGGGGCACGTCACATCCTTCTGCCCCCTGTAGATAGGTACATGCGTGGCCCCACACACCACAAACGGGTTCCTGAAGTCATAGTTCAGCTGGGTCGCGTCCTTCATGTTCCTCTCAGCCGCCGTAAGCACCTGGCGGGCCATCTTCGCCTGGCTCTCCTGTGACGGGTTTGTCTCCAAGAGCCTCCTCGCAAAATTAGCCGCCGTGCTCAAATTCTGGGCTTTGAAGCACACGGTCATGGCATTCATCAACGCGAGCCTCATGTGCGGAAGCTGGAGATTGCAGTGCGTGAAGTAAGCAGCGAGCTCCTGCTGGCGAACCGGATTGTCCTTCAGTTCCCTCCTCCTAAGCTCCATCTGCAAACCGAGCACGTACTCCCTGACCACCACAACCAGCTCCTTCACCTCGTCCACCTCCCTACGAGTCTCGACAACTATCAGCGGTATCGTGTGGAGGATGGACAGGAAATTCTTCAGGGCCTCGGAGAATTTCCCAGCTGTCGTAGCCTTGTACCCAGCTTTGAGCTTCTCCTCAAGCTGTGAGAAATTGAAGATGAGGGCCGGGGGCCCGCGGACGTTCGGGCTCGCCGACTCGCTCCAGCCCCTCTCGATTGCCACTGAGACGACGGGGGCAGAGGCGAAAGCGCGTATGTAAGAGTGGCTGCCCGTGTGCAGGTCGATGAATTGAGATTTCAGAGGGCCAAAATTCCGGATCCCCAGCTGGCGGCTCAGCAGGCGCATGGCCGTGTCGAAGTTTCCGGCAGCCGCATGCTCGGCAGCCAGGGACGAGCGCTGAACCCAGATCTGGCTCACGGGCATGCCTGGGGTTGGGGCCACGAACACAGACGAGCGCGAGCTGTTGTTTGCCTTCGTCGGGGTCTCGCTGTCAGGGGGCAGGTCGAGGTCCTCAAGGTCCCACCCGCCCTCCTCCTCTTCTTCTTCATTCCCGCGCGTGACGAGATCGTCGATCAGCTCGCTGATGTCACCGTTCTGGATGTTTTCCACGTCAGCAATGTCCAGGCCCTGGCCCCAGTCGGCGTCGGCCGCCTCGTCATAGTAGTCCTCTTCGGCGGGGCCCCTGGCCGCCTCATCCAGGCCACCCTCGAATATGCCCTTGCTGACCATCAGCAGTGGCCAGTCTCCTGCGCAAAGCACGGGCTGCGGTGGTATCAAGAGTGAAGCTCTCTTCCCCTCAGGGACAGAAGGGACGTTTTCACCGAGTTCGGCAGCTAAATGCTCAGCGGTGTCTTGTAAACCGTGAACAGAGGCGGTGATGTATGCGAGGGGCAGGTGGCCTGCAGTTTCGAGAATCTTCACACGCTCGCGAATGTCTCCGAGATACAATGCATCGTGAAACTGGCCCATGACATCATTCTTCACCTCAGCAATCTTCATCATCTTGGAGAGCTTATCTAAATTTCCAGTTATGAGGTAGTGGAAGGAGAGCCGCTCAAAGTTTTTGGTCTTCTGGTATGCGTACTCAACGATGCCGGTGTTCCCCTGGCGGAGAGCCTCCACACCAAGTTTGTACCAGTGGTCCTTCTCGTCTATTCTCTTGGCAGATTCGAGTGCTTTCTCAATGTTGCCGCTCTCGAGGGCAAGGTTGAAGCGGGTCCGTTCGTCCTTGACAAAATAGAGGGCGACCTGAGGGAAACCTTTCTGCTGCAGGTAAGCAATCATGGCCTGCCCGCACAGCTCCGAGTTTTTTATCATGCTCATGACCTGGTCGTATCTCTTCTTCAGCAGGGACAGCTTGAACACGTACTCTGTAGGGTCAATGATGATGGGACGATTCTTCTCATCTCGGTCCAGGCAAAAGATTGTGCTCCCATATATCTTGGTGATGTACACTGGGACATCCAGAGTCTTGATAATCCCACAGTCCCCATTGGGAAGGCAGTACTTGATATGAGTCAAGGTTGTGTAGATAAAGACACCGTTCTCCTGCCAGGCCCCGCTCTTCACACGGATAGTCTCGTGAAGAGTACAGCGGTGGCCCAGCTTCTTATCAGCAATAACGATCAAGTGCTTGCTCAATAAGGCAACACTCTCCATATCCGGAGACCAGACCACGTACCGGACAAAAGAGGTCTGAAGATCCCCAAGGACAATCCTCTGCTGGAGATCAAAGATGACAACCCTGTCCTCAGACCTGCACAGCAGATTCCCAGTGCCTGCGTAGAATATGGCATCTGTGGCGACAGGGAGAGGACTCTTTTTCACAATTTCATTTTTCAGGTTCTTGACCAGGACATGGTTGGTGCTCTTTTCAAGCACAGCGAACCTGTTTCGCGCGATAAACACTGCCGAGCCCCCAATTCCTCTTTTTGCATCCTGAACTGTGTCGCCTCTGCCATAGCTATCTTTGGGAATTACGTAGAGCTCGTACGATCCCCCATCAACGTCTGAACAGATCAAGACAGCATTTTCCGTAGGGCTGTAGGAAAGTGCTCGAGGCCCTTGATTCAAGTTATTAGAACCAGGACGGCGAATGGGTATCAGCTGAGTGTCTTTCTGCGAAGAATACTCGAATGCACGGAGGAACCTGTCCTTGACATAGAAAAGGGAATCACCGCTAACAGAAAAAGCAGGGCGCTCTCTCTCCAGCTTGAAAACAATCATGCCACTATCATGACCGGCAGCCAAGAGGTTCATCTCAGGATGAGCCGCAAGGATCCAGAACCTGTCGTGCTCCCTACGGTAAGTTTGCAGGCTGGTTCTTTTCGTCGCATCCCAGACTCGGATGCTCTTATCTTCTGAGTTTGAGACAATGATGTCCTGTCTTGTATGGAATAGAACACACGACACGTTGTTCATGTGGCCTCTCAACGTGTCCACCTCCCAAGCCTTCGTATCTGACAAATAATAAACACAGAATTAGACATCAAATTATATTACCTATATATAGACCACACCACGTCCAATGTAAGTACTTGATAGATGGAAATTCCAACAGGCAGTTCCAAGGAAGTTTGGAATCAGCACCAATTTTGAAATAGAAGCACAAAATCACATATTAACCAACTTGAGAATAGAACCAGAACCTAAGCCTTATCTTTCAGTGTCTCTAATCAAATGGATGGTATATCAAATAAATATCCAAACACAAGTACACAAAATTAAGTGATTTTCCAAAATAAAGACCCATAAATATTACATTGTATACCATGATATGAAGAAAAGGAAATTCAAGAGAAAATGTAACACAGCATCAGTTAATAAGAAATACATAAAGAAATCTAGTACAAAACCCAACGGATAATACTCATTGTGGCCCAACATTTCTTAAACATTTAAAATGTTATCTGCTTTCCAGTAACAAATAGTTAAATATACCAAATGCAATTTATCACGTAACTTGGCTAGACAACATAGTTCTGCCAAAAGAATAATAGTTTGGTGCTTAGCTGCTAAAATAATAAATTCCATACCATTCATGCGCCAAATTTTAACTTGACGGTCATCTGCTCCAGAAACAATCAAAGGGAGAGTCGGATGGAAAGAAGCCCAGTTAACACCTCGATCATGGCCTTCCAATACATACTTCACAACAGCATCAACCCCACCAAAAAAGTCCGTGTTCATTTGAGACAATCGCAGAATGTCATCAGCAGGGGATACTGTTTTCTTTCTCAATGCACCAATATCCCAAACACGCACGGTCTGATCCAAAGAGGCTGAAACAACAAGGTCTTCTTTGGGGTGAAACGAGGCACACATAACATAATGATTGTGCCCAGTCAATACAGAAATGCAAGTTCGAGATTGCCAGTTCCATATTCTAATTGTCTGATCATCACTAGCACTTACAATCCAGGGAGACTCATGATGAAACTGAACAGTTCTAATGTAATCAAGATGACCAAGAAGAGTAAACAGACATCTGTGCAATTTGTAATTCCACACTTTGATCTTGTAATCATCACCTGCCAAAAATCAATTTTTACAACAAAAAATATCAATTTCCTAAAATAATAATGAAACAGATACTCAGCCATAGAAGAATACATATGTGAACATTACAACATAGATACACCCAATGATATAGGCAGACAACGGATAAGAAACTATTGGTCCATCAATACAGCTTCCTCATAATATAAAGTCCAGTCAAATTCCGGAAAATAGTGGAGGCTGAAATTTTCTACAACTAGAGTCTCCACAATCACATGCCAAAAAAACCAACAGCAGAATGGAATCTGGCACTTATGTATAGAAAAACTATAGAGACCTCCAAGGCAAGAGATATAAAGGCAATATACAATCAATGCACTTCAGACCTCTTAATCTGAAGGATCAAGATCTGAAACAAAGTTTAACTTGAGCGCAGGATTTTTGTAATATATAAATGGGTAAAACCATGTTGGCAGCATGCACTTAATTCTTGGTCCGACCATAAACTATTTATCATCACACAGAAAGGCGAAAAAGCATGTCAGTAGTACTTCATAAAATCCACAAATGAATGTCGTAAAGGGTCGCAAACTATAGTTGCGACGAAAAGAACTACATTGCCAAACAGCAGATCCAAATTGCAAAAGTCACTCACCCAGCATACTATCGATCAAACCAAACCATCAATAACAAACACAAACCATCAGATCCATACTCTGAAACACGCCAGAGAACTCTAATCACCCAAAAACAAGCCTAGATCACAATGCAAGAAGGTCATCCAATACCAACGAAACAAAAACGAACAAACTGAGGGGAATTCAACAAAATAAACCACACCTCCGGATACAAAAAGCGGCTGCGATTTATGAAACTGAACGCCTCGGACGGGCCCATCATGCTCTTCAAACCGATCAATAAGAGTGCCCATGCGGTAATCCCAGAGCTGGATCACGCCACTGTGAAGACTCGCCAGTATCCATGGCCTCTTGCTATGGAAACTCAACCCTTTCACTCGATTACTCTTCGTCTCAAACTTCGTTAACATTTCCTACTGTTCTCCTCCCCCGAAAATCACACAATCTGTCAAAAAGAAAACACGAGAAAAACAAAAACGTGAGATCCGCATACGATCGAATACGAAGAAATAAGTTAGAAACCGTAATTAACATCTAGGATCATAACCTTGTGTAGATCTGTGAAGAATTTGGGGATTCTGTTCATAAGGAGATATGAGTTGATACTAATACAGTACTCAGAGTATCAGAGTTGAAATTTTACTTCATCTTTATAGGGGCTGCTTTTTTTCTTATTATTTTAATTTGTTTAATTACGGTATTGCCCGCCTCGGAAGTAAATGACTCATTTTGTACGTTCTGATTGGACGGGTGACAAATTTAAGAAGTGTTAAGGTAGGAGAGAAATAGTGCATGAATTCATGTCAAACTTCTTCCAAGAGTTGGAAGGTCTATTTTAGTATTTTTATTATTTTGGTTTGTTTTGTTTAGTCACCTTGTTGTAATCCCAAGTAAATGATAATGGTGTTTTGTTTTTGTTAATTATGTTTAGCATCGTTCGTTAAAAGAAAAAATGTCTATTTTCCTTTTTTTTCTGCTTTATTTGACATGCAAAATGGAAATATATGAACTGCAATTTTGTTTTAATATGATAATAATGAATTCAGAATAAAAGCTTCATGGAAAGTGACTTAACCTGCATGTTAATGTATGTCTTCATATGGAAGAAGAGTTGCAAACTTTCAAATCCCTAGTTTTGCCCATTTTTGCAAGAACCTTAATTTGTGACAAATCAGTATACTATATGAACTATGCAAAATTAGCACGAACTATTGTTCATCCCCTGTATATTAATTCGAAACATGTTAGAACTTAAATGATAGTCTTGCACATTCGTAAGTTTATTTAAAAAAATCTATGCTTCGTATTGACATACATGCAAATTTGGTTTTAAGTTTTAACAAAGACTTGAGAATTATTATAAAATTATTTATCGTTCATTTCATTAAGTTATCATATATTACCTTTCCTTTTCTTAAATTTTCATATCTTACCTATTATTTTCTTATTTACTTTATATATTAATTATTATGAATATGTATTCTTCTTAGTTTCATAATTTAAGGAAAAAGTTATTTGTATTTTATTTTTCATATATGATATATTAAACTAAAATATATGATATATTAAACTAAATATTTGTTAATAACTTTTGATTTAGCATTCACATTAGATATAATATGAAAATAATTTCATCAATTTTAATAAACAGAACTTAAATTTATAATTTCATCTATTTTAATATATAGAACTTAAATTTATTTATAAAACCAAATTGGGAATTATCAAACAAAACTTTAAATCAGTATATAAAATAAAAATATTATTAATATACCACAAAACAATCATGTTAGTGTACTGTAGATAATATTTATATATATATATATATTTATAAATTTATAAATGTAATTACAAAATTATTATAATTGACAAATTGATTGTAAAACACAAATTTCACTTTAAATACTTCTTTAATTTTTTATTATTTATTTGTACGTTTATGGTTTATAATTTAAAAAATATTTTTTTTGTCGAGATGATAGACTTTCATAAATAGAACAAGTAATTACAAATTATAATTAAATCAGCTAAAAAGCCGAATAATCAAACAAACAAACAAACACGAAAAACTAACAACTAGGAAAACTAAAGCCCTCTCTTCCAGCATCATCAGACACTCCATGGAACCTCATTTAGTCCGATGCCCTTGGCAGCCCCTAAGAGAACAAATCCCGGCCCAACAAGGCTCCAAAAACTCTTTACCGGCTAACTAGAGCCAAACCAAGGACCAATCCCACCTAGAGGATCCCAACTGATTCTAAACCAGCAGCCCAATCCCGAGAGCCGCAACCATCGGCCACCCCCAATCACTCAACACCAGAAACGAAAAGGGGACAGAGTGGCAGGGAGCAGTCCACGCGACCTAGACTGCCACACGAACCGCACCCGTCTCACCGTCTCACGTCACCCACAAGCCATGGCAAACCGAGAAACAGATGGAGAAATCCAAGCCGAATTTTTCATTGGGAAGACATTGTTTTTCTATTAAATAATGACACAATGCGATTATATATAAATTAATTATATTTTTATAATTTATAAACGAATTTTTCATATTGTTTATGAAAAAAAAAAGTTTAATATACTCACTACTCAATTACAAATTACCCAACACAGAGTACTTAAATAGAAAAAAAATATGTTGTCAGATTTCCCTAATAGCTATGTTATGTAATTTAACTGTTAAAACTTACCTTTCAAAATTTAGCTACAACTATGTCTCACAAAATATAAGTATCTCGCCATCTAAAACGCGGACAAGAAACTCTAAGCATATAAAGAACAAAAAGAACTCATAAAGCCAACCAAAAATAACTCAGACAAAGCCAATAATACTCCTTAAGTACTTGTATGGGCAAATATAAAATGTCTAACATCTGCGAAAAAAACACTGAAGAACCAACATTGCTCTTAAAATTAACAACAGCCAGGCAATATAGTTGCCACATTTACCCATGCACACAAAGTCCCCATAAGAACTATATAAATGAAATATCTTACACAGCATTATTACCAAGAGAACAGTAAAAATCATAAAACCAAAAATATCAGATGTAGCAGGGGGATGAGAGATTGAACGAGAGAACCCAAGGAAAATGAAAAGATTTATCCAAAAGTGTTATAACCGATATATGAACCTCAACTTCCCAAAAATCGTACCTCTTCCTTTCGCCCATCACGTGTACCTTGTCATTCCCAAAAGACTCGGGCAATTTCTTCTTCCCCTAGAAATGGCAACTCCAACGTAAAAAATTCATCATAAACAAACCAATCACCTGACCGATCATCATCTGACCTGTGAAGGCGAACAGAGCAAGCCCGACGCATCCGACCCAATCACCGAGAGTTGGCACACCGCACACACCTCCCCCTGGTGCGCCGGAACAAAGTGGGTCCCACAATAAGGGCACGTCACATCCTTTTGCCCTCTGTAGATTGGTACGTATGTGGCCCCACACACCACAAACGGGTTCCTGAAGTCATAATTCAACTCTGTTGCATCCTTCATGTTCCTCTCAGCTGCCTGGAGCACCTGACGGGCCATCTTCGCCTGGCTCTCCTGAGACGGGTTCGTCTCCAAGAGCCTCCTCGCGAAATTAGCCGCCGTGCTCAAATTCTGGGCTTTGAAGCATACGGTCATGGCATTCATCAACGCGAGCCTCATGTGTGGAAGCTGGAGATTGCAGTGCGTGAAGTAAGCGGCGAGCTCCTGCTGGCGAACTGGATTGTCCTTCAGTTCCCTCCTCCTGAGCTCCATCTGCAAACCGAGCACGTACTCCCTCACCACCACAATCAGCTCCTTCACCTCGTCCACCTCCCTACGAGTCTCGACAACAATCAGCGGGATCGTGTGGAGGATGGAGAGGAAGTTCCTCAGGGCCTCCGTGAATTTCCCGGCCGTCGTGGCCTTGTACCCAGCTTTGAGCTTCTCCTCGAGCTGAGAGAAGTTGTAGATGAGGGCCGGGGGCCCGCGGACGTTCGGGCTCGCCGACTCGCTCCAGCCCCTTTCGATTGCGACCGAGACGACGGGGGCGGAGGCGAAAGCGCGTAAGTAGGAGTGGCTGCCATTGTATAGGTCGATAAATTGAGATTTCAGAGGACCAAAATTCCTGATCCCCAGCTGGCGGCTCAGCAGGCGCATGGCCGTGTCGAAGTTGCCGGCTGCCGCGTGCTCGGCGGCCAGGGACGAGCGTTGAACCCAGATCTGGCTCACGGGCATGCCTGGGGTGGGGGCCACAAACACAGACGAGCGCGAACTGTTGTTCGCCTTCGTCGGGGTCTCGCTGTCCGGGGGTAGGTCGAGGTCCTCAAGGTCCCACCCACCCTCCTCCTCTTCGTCTTCATCCCCACGCGTGACGAGCTTGTCGACCAGCTCGCTGATGTCACCGTTCTGGATGTTGTCCACGTCAGCAATGTCCAGGCCCTCGCCCCAGTCGGCGTCAGCCGCCTCGTCATAGTAGTCCTCTTCAGCGGGGCCCCTGGCCGCCTCATCCAGGCCTCCCTCGAATATGCCCTTGCTGACCATCAGCAGGGGCCAGTCCCCTGCGCACAGCACAGGGCTTGGGGGTATCAGAAGAGAAGCCTTTTTCCCTTCAGGAAGAGAAGGGACGTTGTTGCCCAGCTCGGCCGCCAGGCGCTCGGCGGTTTCCTGCAGACCGTGGACAGAGGCAGTGATGTACGCGAGAGGGATGTGGCCCGCATTCTCTAGAATCTTCACGCGCTCGCGAATGTCTCCAAGATACAAGGCATCGTGAAATTGGCCCATGACATCGTTCTTGACCTCGGCAATTTTCATCATCTTGGATAGCTTGTCTAGATTTCCGGTTATAAGATAGTGGAAGGAGAGTCGCTCGAAGTTTTTGGTCTTCTGGTATGCATACTCAACTATGCCGGTGTTCCCCTGGCGGAGGGCCTCCACGCCCAGCCTGTACCAGTGATCCTTCTCATCTATTCTCTTGGCAGATTCGAGTGCTTTCTCAATGTTGCCGCTCTCGAGGGCAAGGTTGAAGCGGGTCCTCTCGTCCTTGACGAAATAGAGGGCGACCTGAGGAAACCCCTTCTGCTGCAAGTAAGCAATCATTGCCTGTCCGCACAGCTCCGAATTTTTTATCATACTCATGACCTGGTCGTACCTCTTCTTCAACAGGGACAGCTTGAAAACATATTCGGTGGGGTCGATGATGATGGGGCGATTCTTACCGTCACGATCCAGACAAAAGATCGTGCTCCCGTATATCTTTGTGATGTACACAGGGACATCCAGAGTCTTGACAATCCCACTGTCCCCATTGGGAAGACAGTACTTGATGTGGGTTAGGGTCGTGTAAATAAAGACACCATTGTCGTGCCAGCCTCCACTCTTGACACGGATAGTCTCGTGAAGGGTACAGCGGTGGGCCAGTTTCTTATCAGCAATGACGATTGAGTGTTTGCTCAGTAAGGCAACACTCTCCATATCCGGGGACCAGACCACGTAACGCACGAAAGACGTCTGAAGCTCCCCAAGGACAACCCTCTGCTGGAGATCAAAGATGACGACCTTGTCCTCAGACCTGCACAGCAGATTCCCAGTGCCTGCATAGAATATGGCATCTGTAGCGACAGGGAGAGGACTCTTTTTCACAACTTCATTTTTCAGGTTCTTGACCAGGACATGGTTGGTGCTCTTTTCAAGCACAGCGAACCTGTTTCGCGCGATAAACACTGCCGAGCCCCCGATTCCTCTTTTTGCATCCTGGACCGTGTCGCCTCTGCCATAGCTATCTTTGGGGATTATGTACAGTTCGTAAGATCCACCATCAATGTCTGAGCAGATCAAGACAGCATTCTCTGTAGGACTGTAGGAGAGAGATCGTGGACCTTGATTTAAGCTATTGGACCCAGGACGACGGATGGCTATGAGCTGAGTGTCCTTCTGGGAAGAATACTCAAAGGCACGGAGGAACCTGTCCTTGACATAGAAGAGGGAATCACCGCTAACAGAAAAGGCCGCGCGCTCTCTCTCCAGCTTGAAAATAATCATGCCGCTATCATGACCAGCAGCCAGAAGGTTCATCTCAGGATGAGCCGCAAGGATCCAGAACCTGTCGTGCTCCCTACGGAAAGTTTGCAGGCCGGTTCTTTTCGTCGCATCCCAGACTCGGATGCTCTTGTCTTCCGAGTTTGAGACAATGATATCCTGTCTTGCATGGAACAGAACACACGACACATTGTTCATGTGGCCTCTAAGTGTGTCCACCTCCCATGCCTTCGTATCTGTACATAAAATAAACTAAAAATTATCTATCTGATTGGATAACTTATATACACACATGCACACAATGTATGCAGTTGATAGAAGAAAGTTCCTTTAGGCAGTTCCACGAAAATGTGGAACTGGCACCTGTTTGAAATAGCAACATTCATAACTTTCTGACCAAAAATATAAAACAGTGGGAGAATAAACCAACATCAAATTCCTCACTCCCACATCCCACATCCAACCCCCAAAAGAAACAAAAGAAAAAGACATTAGAGTAGTACAGTGTCTCGTGAAATTGATGGAACACAATTAGTTGACCAGACCCAAGTAAACAAATATGTGATTTCCCAAAAAAGAAGATCAACAAACTTGAAACGTCTAAAACTATATGAAAAGAAGCACCTTCAATAATACATGCAACCACAACATCACCTTCTAATATATTACACTCACTCTGCAAATATGCTGCTAAAGTAATAAAATATTCCATACCATTCATGCGCCAGATTTTAACTTGGCGATCATCTGCTCCAGAAACAATCAAAGGGAGAGTCGGATGGAACGAAGCCCAGTTAACACCTCGGTCATGGCCTTCCAATACATACTTCACAACAGCATCAACCCCACCAAAAAAGTCCGTGTTCATTTGAGACAATCGGAGAACGTCATCAGCGGGGGATACTGTTTTCTTTCTCAACGCGCCGATATCCCAAACACGCACGGTCTGATCCAAAGAGGCTGAAACAACAAGGTCTTCTTTGGGGTGAAATGAGGCACACATAACATAATGATTGTGCCCAGTCAACACAGAAATGCATGTCCGAGATTGCCAATTCCAAATTCTAATTGTCTGGTCATCACTAGCACTAACAATCCAGGGGTACTCATGATGAAACTGAACCGTACGGATGTAATCAAGATGACCAAGAAGAGTAAACAGACATCTGTGCAATTTATAATTCCACACCTTGATTTTATAATCATCGCCTGCCAAAACAAATGTTTATATAACAGAAATAAATTTCTTAAAATAATAAAGAAATGGAGCATCTGCAAGAGAGCAACACATATATTTACATTACTACACATATACACCCAAGGAGATGGCAGATAAAGACTAACCGATTATTCATTCATCAGTATAGCCCTTACAGAATATAATTATATTGAGTCGAACTGAAGGCAACAAAACAATCTGGCTCCTGAATCTAAAAAATGTAAGATTTTGCAACACATCACCCCCATGTACAGTCACCACAAGGCAAACAACTAAAGCACCATCATCCTTAATATGTCACTAGCTCACTCGAGAATAAAATACGACATTACGTTCATATATTCAAGTCAGATTTCGCAACAGACTTCGCCTCTTGTCTAGAGTCCCATCACAATAATAGGCCAAATGAACCAGCACCAGGATGAAATGTTCAATCATACTCATAAAATCAAGTCATATTTTCAGCACACTTCATCTGTGTAGTCAGTTTCTGAAACTAGAGTATCGCCATGATCACATCCCAAATGAACCAGCTCTAAAATGACATCTGGCACTTGTGTACAAACAATATACATGCCTTTTGGGATGAAAGATATAACACCCAAATACAGCAAAAACACTTCAAGTTCATAGCAGGACATTCACAATAAATAAATGGATAAAATCATGTAGAGCTTAATTAAGATTTGGTCTGAGAGCATCACATTTATAATAATACATAAAGGTAAAAAGCATATCAGTGGTACTTCTTAAAATCTACATGTTGTCAAGGGTCGCCAAACGATTTCGAAAAGGCAAATAGATTGTTACCACTAAACCCACTCACAATCAACGAAGCACACATCCACACTGCAAATCTAAATCACAAAAGACACTGATCCAGCAGACTAATCAATCAAACACGAATCAGCAGATCAGAACTCATAATCTCCCAAAAACAAGCTGAGACCACATCGCAGAAGGTCAATTCCGATACCAACGACGCAAATGAACAAAATTAAAAGAGCATTTCACAAACAAATCACACCTCCCGATACGAAAAGCGGCTGCGATTGATGAAAATGGACGCCTCGAACGGGTCCATCGTGCTCGTCAAAGCGATCAATGAGAGTGCCCATGCGGTAATCCCAGAGCTGGATCACGCCACTGTGGAGACTCGCCAGGATCCATGGCCTCTTGCTATGGAAACTCAGTCCTTTCACTCTATTACTCTTCGTCTCAAACTTCGTCAACATTTCTCACAATTCTTCTCCCCTGAAAATCACACACACACTGTAATCCACAACGAGAACCACCAAACCGTAAGATCTGCATTGAATTGCAGACAAAAAGAAGTTCGAAACCGAAATCAGATACCTTCGATCTTCACCTGTTGAAGATCTGTGATGAATTCGGGGATTTTTGTAGGAAAGTGTTTTAGGTTGATTCGTAATGAAGAAGCAGAAGAAGAAACTTTGCGTTTATTTCATCTGTTGTTGCTGCGGATCTACTCGACTCAGAGAGGGGCGTGTTTGGATTTTGGATCAATTTTATTTCATTTTTATGGGGTGATATCTTTACTAGTTTTTTTTCTTTTTTTCTTTTTTCTTTTTTAACTTAATTACAGCGCTGTAATCTAAAAGCAATGTTATTAAAACCGGACCGGTCATCTACTGGTTCAATGGTTCACTGGTCGGACCAGTGGTCGAACCGGTTTAACTAATATACAATTTATTTATTTATTTTATATGTATAATATATAATTATATATATATATACTAAGGAACCGGAGGAAGAACATGCAGGGAAAGCCTTTCCCGAGAGAAGGAAGACAGGATGATCCCAAGCTTTCCGGAATCCGAACGTGCTTTTTATAGAATATAATGATATTTTTCTAAATAAGAGTTGATAAATCAATATTTTAAATATAGTTTATCATAAGCAATACTAAATTAAGTTCACTAAAATAATAGATTAATAATTCAATAACTATTATCTAAAGCAAGGCAATCCAAATTACAAATACAAACTACAAAGTCATCAAACATCAAAATATATCTAATCCAACATTACAATTCATCAAACATCAAAATACTCTCTCACTCTTTTCCTTTTGTTTGATTTTTTTTATTTCATTAAGATTTTTTTTTTCAAATTTCAGAACCGGTTCGACCAGTCGAACCGGTACCGGTTCGAAACCGGTTCTTGTTCCAGCGGTTTAAACACTCAAACCGGATCGGTACTAGGTCCGGTTTCCGATCGAATCGGTCAAATTGGCCGGTTCGGTCCGGTTTTGATAACATTGTCTAAAAGTTACTCATCCTGAGCTGTGTTTTGATTGGAGGGATGTAAGTGATAACATCTATTTGACAACTTTTATGCTTTTGACATTTAATTTATTTCAATTGCTGGTATATACGTGTACAATTTTGCTATGAAAGTAATTGTTGGCTCCATAGCAAAATTGTATACATGTAAGAGTAAAAACAACTAACTTTTTAGGTACAAACTAACCTCAAATTTTAGTGACAAATATTGACTTTCACGTAAATTTTTTTAGAATACATAGAACTAAAACGTGTTACACTATTCGCATACAAATAGACGCTTTGTATTGACATATATAAATTTAATTTTTTTTTTATATATATTTTACTTGTACAGTTGTACTTTTTAGAATTTTTATAATTTTTAAAGGTCATGAGTTATTTATTGGAGCTTTTGAAAAGATATAAAAAATATTGAGTTATTTAATTTATTTAATATTATTATTTATTATGACTTTTCAAGATTATGAGAGATTTAAAGCACAAATTAGATATTCCACCACCAATCCCTTAGGTTTAAAATTTTGCTAAAATCAATAAATTTTGAAAAGTCTAGAATTTTAAGTCACTCAAAATTTTGAATTAATACACTTTGAAATAGACTAGTACAGAGCCCGTGCGATGCACGGGGTGCACAATTTTAAGGCTATTATCCAGGCTTATAATTATATACATGAATAAAGAAATATGTACGGAATATATATAGTACGTGACCCGTGCAAAGAATATTATATTATAAGACGCAATATTCAATAAAAATTTATAATACGCAAAAAAATTGTACAATGTTCAATAAAAGTTTTATAATATTCAAGTGGAGTCTTAAAGTCTCTTGTACATTAAGACTACTGACAAAATAATATTTTAATCAATGAGTTTCCTTTCCTTGTAGCCAAATTGTGAATGTGATTTGAGGAGTACAACAAATCGATATATAGCTGACTTGTTTTTTTCATTGTAGTTTTTTTTTTTTTTTTTTTATAATGAATTTAAAGATATTCTAAAATATAGCAAAAATTAATTTTTTGATTACAATTAGGAATTTTACTAAATATAAACTGTCAATCTATGGTGTTAATCAACGTTTAAGTCTAAAAAATTAGGAATTTTTACCTCTTTTAATCAACGTTTAAGTCTAAAAAACAATAGAGTTATTATGAGTTTTTTTTTCTACATCTTTTAAAACATTAAATATGAGCATGTTAGGGCTAGCTTGTAAAATAATTAATATATTATCTCACTAAAACATTTATACTAATAATAATTTAATTTTAGCATATAAATTTATCACTTGATATAAGAGAAAGTAACAGTTTTACTTATTGTTGTTCACCATATAATATTTAATTATTATTTTATTATATAAAAAAGAAATATTGTTAAATAGTGTAGTAGAATTGTTATAAAATTATATGATTTTTTTTTTACAATATGGATTTAATATTTTTTTATGATTTGATAATATAAAAAAATCTATACTTAACTTTGACAAATAAAAGAAATAAATACTTTAGTAAGTATTTAATGTATATACTAAATAGGAATATATTTGGTATAATCAAATACCAAATATAATTAAATAAGTCAAAGTGTACATTTTTATTTGATATTTGATTTTTTTATTATTAAAATCTTTTTATTATACTTACCTTTTTAAAATAAAACAAATAAATAAATCAATTAAATAAATAAAATATTATAATACCAAAATAGTAATGACATTTAATGCAGTTGACTTTTCTGGATAGTAAATGTAGTAAATAGAATCTCCTTTTATATAAGTATAGATTGTATAATACGGAAATAGTAATGCAATAAATGTTGTTGACTTTATTTTATACTAAATCTGGTAAATGGTATACCTTTTAATATAAACTAGTACAGTCCCCGTGCGATGCACGGAGGTTTATTATCTCGGTCTCTTTTATAAAGCAATGTTCAGTTAAAATTCAAAATACTTTCTAAATGAAAGATCATGCCATTAATAATAAATAAATTAATAAATACAATGATAATAAAATCTATATATTATTGAACATTTCCTTATATACAACGTTCATGGATTGATTCTTTGGCACGTCATCGTCGCCACAAACTAGGACTTTCAAACCATTTCTGTTTGTGACACGGGAGACAGCAACATACAATTGGTCATGACTAAACACTGGTTTCTTAAAAAATAAGCCCACATGCGACAATGATTGTTCTTGACTCTTATTTATAGTCATAGCGTAAGAAAACATAATGAGAAACAATCAATCCAATAACATCTACAAAAACGTAAGAAAATGCATCATATTGAAATGTATAACATATAAAATTATTACAGATTTTAAATTTAAAAAAAATCGAAATAAGAAATAAACAAAAAAATTATAACGTACCAAACAACATGGCTTCATCAATGTTACGAACATCAATTAAAGTTAGAAAGTTTCTAAAGTCAAAACGATACATAGGAAAATCACCCCTCTATTTGATAAATCACCCCTCCATTTGATAATCTTGGTTTGACCATTGATAATGATCCTCCTTTTTCCTATCGTCGATTTATGGATGCCAATATTGCTTTTCACTTGATAGTTTGTCAAGATATAAGCGCCACCTTCTTCAATATCACCGATAATTTTTTGGATATTGACAGGTCGAATTATGTCAGTAATTCGTTCTCCCTAAAACATTTCATAATGAATAATTTAATAAATAAATTATAAAAGATGTTGCATAAAATGATGCATTTAAATAATAATAAAAGAATATATTACCTCAAAATCGTGAAAGATAATCTCAAGAACATTTCGGTAATTGCGTACGACTTCAACTCGTTGGAACATCCTAATTATGCGTAGCTTGATTGGTGGCTTATTAGATCTTTTGATATCCTTGATTACTCCGAAATCCGAAGTCATTTTCAATGGTGATGTAAAAGCTTGTAGAAAAAAATTATTTTGTGGGATGTATTGGATGTCAAATACTTTTTGTTCAACGTTGGTGATGTTTACATAGTCATGTGTATGTGTCATGTGTCTGGGAAATAAAAAAATATTTACGTAAGGTATTTAATATGATCCAATCCGATTTTTTTATTATGATTATGATTGACTTCTAAAAATATGTGTTATCGGTTTTGTTAAAAAAAAATGTGGAACGTGATTCGCTTGTGAGGGGCGAACGAATATTTAGAAGATTATGTAGCCAAAAATAATGGAGTTTGTTACAATGAAATTTGGTAAGACTTTTTGGATAGATTGAAAAATAATATTTTTATTTTGATATTTTCCTATTTATTTGAACAAATCCAAAACTTTAATTTACGAAATTATAATCTTTAATTTTTTGAAACGTGTAAACTTTTCTAGGATAACTTTTATAAAACAAAATGTGATCAAATCATAATTGATTTTTATGCCTAATATTCCAAATCAAACCTTACAAATATGGTATGATTATTTACTATTAATATTTTACTTTTTCAAACGTCTGATTCTCTTAGGTTTATATGAAACAAAGTTCAATCAAATTAAAATTGATTTTTATGTCCACACTAAAACTTTATCAATATGATATGTTTATTTTTATTTTCATTTTTTCAAATCCACAACTCAAATTTTCGAGAGAGAGAAGAAAAAAGGAAACAAACTCTTATCAACCCTTATCAAATTTTCGAGAGAGAAAAAAAAAACAAAAAAAAAATTAGAAACAAAATCTTATCAAACCTTATCAATAATGAAGATACGTGTTTCCAAGAAAAACTAACAAAATCCCGTGGTTACCAAAATCCTATCAAATTAGTTAACAAAATCCCATTAAATTGGTTAACAATGTTGGAACGCATTTTGTTAGGAAAGATTTACATAATTTATCTATCTAATTAATATCATAGTAACGTGTGAGTCCAGTGATATTAATTTAGTATAGCATCCATTATCTCGGAATAATTTTTTGTTTGATTTACAACATTAACTTGAATGGAAAAAAATCTGTAATTGTTGAGATATCTCAATTCAAAATCTCAATTTTTTGGCATAAGAATCTTCAAATTTGTTACCAGTAAAAATAGATTCCTATGGGATTAATACTTAAAATGAATTAAATTTTTGTATAAGAATCTCCAACTTTGTTATCATAAGAATCTTCAATTTGTTACCATAAGAATCCCATAAAAATCTCCTATGGATTGGAGTTTATCAATATTTAGTATAGCATCCATTATTCTCGGAATAATTTTTTGTTTGATTTACAACATGAATTTGAAGGGGAAAAAATCCGAAATTGTTAGGATATCTCAATTCAAAATCTCAATTTTTTTGGATAAGAATCTCCAATTTGTTACCATAAGAATCCCATAGAAATCTCCTATGGGATTGAAGTATATCAATATTTGGTATAACATCCATTATTTTTGGAATAATTTATTGTTTGATTTACAACATAATTTGAATGGGAAAAAAATTCGTAATTGTTGGAATATCTCAATTCAAAATCTCAATTTTTTGACATAACAATCTTCAAATTTTTTACCAATAAAAGTAGATTCCTATGGGATTATTAAATTTTAGTATAGGAATCTTCAAATTTGTTACCATAAAAATCTCCAATTTTTTTGGGATATCTCAATTAAATTTGTTACCTTAAAAATCTACAAATTTGTTACCATAAAAATCTCAATTTTTTTGGTACATGTGTTTTTTCCGAAATTTCCACTAATAGTAAGTCAAACCATTTATTTTTTTAGTCAAACTTACTATAAAAGTATTTTTCCAACAACCTCTTTATATTACTATAGATATAGATATAGATTTAGATGTTATTATAAAAAAAAATTATATCTTTTTCAATAGCTAAATCACATTATGTGTGGAAATTTCATCCCAAAATTTCGTTACTTTCTTAATTCTCTTTCTCTCTTCTCCAATTTTCCATAGGTGCGATAATATTTATTCTCTCTAATTGATTCTCATCGATCTCATGATTAGGACCTACAAATATTTTATTTGGCTAGTATCGCCCACCACAAAATCCTCTTCCCATTGCAGCTTATTTTTATTTTTATTTAGCACCTACAAATATTTTATTTGGCGATCGGCCTCCCCAAACTAGAGATCTAATTGCCACCACCACCATGAGTGAAGTCCGGGAGGTCCAGACATGGATAGAGAAGGAAGCGGCATAGCCAATGTCGAACGGATATTAGAGATATTCCATTAGGAAATCCAACGGATATTTTAATAGAAAATAATTTAAACGGAATATTTATGTTGAAATTTTCGTTGGATTCAATTAAAAAATTTCTAATGAAATTATAACATTGGAATTTCAATTGAAATTTCGTTGAAACATATTTGCATTGGAATTTTTTATTGGAATTTCATCATTTTGTGTAGTATCATACTATTTTTTTCCTAAATATGCACGCCCTTAGTATCTTTCACTAGCTAGCCTTTAGAAGATGGAATATTAATGTGACGTTAATGAACCCAACAGACAAAAGGTAACTTTTAGCATGCTTGCTCAAGCAAGCTCACTAGATATCATCCGGTACTAATGTACTATCACCTAATAGATTCTAGTTTTTGAAATGTATTGTTTTTCATAATACAACAATTAACATGAAAATACATATATTTATAAAAATAAAAAGATAGTGCGATTATATATATCTAACAAGGGACCCGGTCAAATTTGATCGACCCGGGTATTGACCCAATCATATTGTATGTATGTGTGTGTATGTGTGTATATATATTTATATATATATATATATTAAAAATTTTTATATTTAAAATGTATGTATATTTATATGGTAAATGTTTATGCCAATATAAAATATTATATAGATTTTTGAAGTATAAAATTTGCATATAAATAATTTTTTGTTTTATGTATAGTTATATGAAAATAATAATACAAATCTATACTTATATAAAAAGGCATTATATTTACTGGAAATAGTAGGCAGAAAAGTCAAAGGTAATTAATGCTGGTTGGAAATAGAATGACATTAATTACAGATTTGTTTTGGTATTTATAAGCTTGACATTAAAGATTTGTTATGGGATAAAACTCAGAACTGATTTTTTTACCTTTGCTGGAAAAGTCAAAGGTAAGTATAGATTTGTTTATATTATTAAATCATAAAAAGATATTAAATCCATATTGTAAAAAAATAAATTCATCTAATTGTATAACAATTCTACTACATTATTTAACAATATTCCTTTTTATTATATAATAAAATGATAAGTAAATATTATATGGAGAACAATAATAAGTAAAATTGTTACTTTCTCTTATATTAAGGGATAAATTTATATGCTAAAATTAATTTTTTATTAGTATAAATGTTTTAGTGAGATAATATATCAATATTTTATAAGCTAACTCTAACATTCTCATATTTAATGTTATGGCTAAAAAAAACGCTGGTTAAAAGATGTAGAAAAAAACTTATAATAACTATATTGTTTTTTAGACTTAATGTTGATTAAAAGAGCTAGAAAATAGATAATAACCCTATTATTTTTTAGACTTAAACGGACAAGGCTGTGAAAATAACTCATTTAAAAGAGGTAGAAAATCGATAATAGCCCTATTATTTTTTATACATTAAACGGACAAGGCTGTGAAAATAACTCATTTAATATCTCTGTCTCGTGCATCGCACGGGGTACACACTAGTATAATTAAAAAAAATTACAATTAATAGCTTGGTTCAACGATTGACCCTATGATTCATAGGCCAATCTAAATCAGTCACTAGTGGGATTTTATAATATTAATATAAGGTTTCCAAAGTCCAAACGAAAAGTTTAAAATTAATGAAATAAATTTATACTTATATAAAAAGTCATTCCATTTATTAGAACTAGTGTGTGACCCGTGCGATGCACGGGAAAATAATATTACGATTGTATTATAAATTAAATATATAAATAACATTAATCATGATTTATCCATTGTTTTTAAATTGAATTGGGTTGGACACAATCTGATCGGATGGACCGAGAACCGGTTTATAACCAGTCTAGTTCGCTTGAATAAAATATTTGCTCTCGAATCCGTCAACACCAATCGGTTGGACTGGTAGGATCGATACGATTTTCTAAATAATTTTTGTTATATTTAAAGTTATTTAAAATAAAATTACATATTTAAATAAAATAGAGATTTATAAATTATTTATCAATTAGTTTAAACATTTGAATTTATAAATTGTTCAGACATCTAAGTAACACATTTTATTTAAATTTATTACAAAAAGTACTATATATATATTAAAATATTTATAAATTAAAATCTGAACAAACCACAAATGATTTAATAAAATAGCTTGATGGTTTCGATGACGGTCTAGTTCTAAAAACCTTATATTTACTGTACATTAATAAATATTATAATAAAATATTATTTAATTCACATACATATTAATAAAATGATATATAAATATTCATAAATCATTAAACATGTTGTCATGAAAGTATTGTTAATACGACTTTTTGAAGTTTGGACTACATCACATTCATATAATAAAATTTTCAAGAAAATCGGACTGCATTCAACACTTGGACAAATTTAAAAATTATTCCGTAATGAAGGAATTTATATATAATTGTTATCTCTACTCAATCACATGATTATTTTCAATATAAAAAGAGACAGATTAAAAATTAGTGAATCTTATATTACCTAATTCAATATCTTAACATTAAGGAATAAATCAATAGTATTATGTAAATCCATATCTCATATTATATCATTAAGAATATATTATAGTTATATTATCAAATCATAAAAAGATATTAAATCCAAATTGTAAAAAAAAAATAATTCATATAATTTTATAACAATTCTACTACACTATTTAATAGTATTCCTTTTTATTATATAATAAAATAATAATTAAATATTATATAGTGAACAACAATGAGTAAAACTATTAATTTCTCTAATATCAAGGGATAAATTTATATGCTACAATTAAATTTTTATTAGTATAAATGTTTTAGTGAGATAATATATTAATTATTTTACAAGCTAGCCCTAACATGCTCATATTTAATGTTCTAGCTAAAAATACAACGCTGGATAAAAGATGTGGAAAAATACATATAATAATTCTATTGTTTCTTGGACTTAACGTCGATTAAAAGAGGTATAAAATAGATAATAACCTTATTATTTTTGTCACGGTACGTACTAGTAAAATAGAAAACACTAAAAACTACATAAAAGATGTAAAATAGAAAACACTAAAAACTACATAAAAGATGCTGAAGAAGTTGCAAATGGTATAATTTGAGCTCATGATTATTTTTTCGAATTCAACCACGAAATTAGCCGTGGCCGTTTCGATTTCTGACAGACTAAAATCCTTCGAACGATCCCCAAAATCCAACAACTCGTGTTCAAAAATTGTGATTCATTCTAGAAAGTTATAGATTAGTTCATAAGGCCNCTTGCATTTTTGCAAGTTTTCTGATGTTATCATGGGTTATGGTTTATGAATTGTTTGTTTATTGTTGTTGCCTTGCAAAATTTTTTTCTAAGGAAGAAAAAGGTGAAGAGTTCATGATTTTCATCTCCCCTAGGCTGGCCAAGGGAGCATTACCTTTTTCATTCTCTTTCAGGCAATTATCATTGGAATCAGGAACTCTCACAAAGTGGTTGAAAGGTTTCCTTATAGAAGATGCGGTTGATCTCTTTCTCGCATTTGTTTTGTAGTTAGCATGATTTTGACATTATCATGAAGTTTTTGAACATAATGATTTGTTAATTTTTGAACATAATGATTTAGATGATTGTGAATGTTATGCATAAAATTCTAATAATTTTTTTGATTTATGTTTTTATAAGGACAAAACAAGTTTTTTTATCAATACCAGAAGGCTGTTGGGGTGGATCTATGGGACTCACACTATGAAGTTGTCTTTTTATTTTCTATTTTTTTGTAATAGTTAATTAATTAATATGTCTGTATATGTTTGGTAATTATTATTCTATTTGAGAGGAAATAAGATTGTTGATTTTTAGGGCTTTTTTTGTGGTGAAAAATTTGTGCAGAAAATGCAGGCGCACTTGCAGAAATTGAAGGAGCTTAACAAAAACGTTAGGAAGGAGATAAGGTCCATATTATTCCAAAATTTACTGATGCTTAGCTAATTAATTCTTATATATATTGTTCAATGTCTTTTTTGTTCTAAAAAAAAATATTTGAATTGAGCAGGCAAAGGATGGGGGAGAGCTTGAACGATCTAGGCTACGAACAAATGGTTAATCTCATTGAAGACATTGATAGCTCTCTCAGGATCATACGAGAAAAAAAGGTTTTTTTTTTAGTTGATCTCCAATTTCTTTTATTTAATTTACTTGTCCAAGGTTAAATTTAAAATCTAGGGTTTCAACCTTTTTAATATATATATTTGTTTAAATGAGGCATATTTTCTAGCAATTTAGGAAATATTTGCCAACAATTAAAGAAATATAAGAAAATATAGTAACCAATTTTCAATCCGTTTCTGTTAATGTTTATAATATATATTACGATTTATTGTGTATGACGGCGTAATATATCTATATATATATATGGGTAGATCAGTTATAGTTTCCTGACAAAAATTGCATATATGTTAAATACAAAAATTTTTATGCGTTTATTAGTCGAGTCGACCCGTCATTCTATTTTAACATAATTTTTTTATCAAATACTTTTCCTTTATTGCAAAATAAATTACTGCAAGAGTCCCTGTGAGATCTTTCAAGAAACTAGTTAATTAGAGGAAATTAAACATCAAGTTTTGCCCTGAGGAAAATAAGATGGTCTCTGCAACCTAGGAGTACTATATTAGCTATTGCCTTTTGAAGTGATTTGCACAGGAAAATATATTACTATTATTTTTATGTGTACAGATAATTAATTGTACATTATGAAATAAACATTGAAAAGACTGGCTTAATATTAGAGCAGCTTTTGTGCAGATTTAGGCTCTTTTAAGAGTGTCCAATTCGGTTAAGCTTGATAATTAACAATATGAAGGGTTAGAGATGACCTGCGAAAACCGAACTAAACGAGTTAATCTCGAACTTATAAAACGCCCGAGGATATATACCGACTCTTCCATTGGATGTTGCATAGTATAGATTGAGATATTTAGATTTTTTTTAACCATTTCATTTACTTGAATATTATATATTATAGGTAAATTTCATGTAATTCTTCATGTTTGCAATATCATGAAATTTGACCATTTTAATCCCTCTCACAGTATAAGACCATCGGCAACCAGATTGAGACCAGCAAGAAAAAGGTAAAAAACTAAATAAACAACATGGGCACATCTTGTAATGCTTTGAATTTGAAGTAGTTAATTTTCCTTTTCCTTCTTTAAATTTTGCAGGTGAGGAATGTAGAAGACATACACAGAAAGCTTATACTTGAATTTGTAAGTAACTCTTCCTATACTCATGTATTTGTGCCAACCATATCACTTTAAGTTTCTACTATTCTATTAATTCTACTTTATCTTAAACAGTTATTACTCAAATAAGACAATACTCATAAGGCGTATGAATATGTCGTACATGTCCATTTTGTATTTCACTTCTTTATTCATGTTTCAATCGTAAATGATGGCATTATTTATTGTAGACATGAGTATCCCAAGAAAATTGCATCATTATATGAGTTCAAAAGCTTTTTTTTCCTTTGCTAACTGTTCAAATTGTTGATTATAATAATATTATAATGAAAAGAGTAACAAATCTTTGACAAGTTGTAGATATAAGTATCCCAAGATAATTGCATCATTATATATGAGTTAAAAAGCTTTTTTTTTTTTTAAAAAAAAATGTTTATTAACTGTTCAAATTCAAATTGTTGATTTTGATAACATTATAATGAAAAGAGTAACGAATCTTTGACATGTGTAACTATTGTACACATGACTATGAGACACCGTAAACTTATAACGATTCATGATAAACGATGCGCAGGATGCAAGACAAGAGGACCCACACTATGGATTAGTTGAAAACGAAGGTGATTATAACTCGATTATTGGATTTCCGAATGGAGGACCTCGTATAATTGCTTTACGCCTTCCTCATAATCACCACAACCAGCACCACCACCAACACCACCTTGGCATGCATGGTGGTGGAGTCGGCTCGGACCTCACCACATTCCCCTTGCTCGATTAGAATTGTATGTGACAAGAATATCCATAATATCTCATAGTGTTGAATTCTCTCTTGGTGTGTGAAATTTGAAGTAGTAATTAGGTAAGCTATTGGTGGTGTCTTAAGAAGGACATATGTGACAATGAAAAGAAAAACATGCTTTGTGTTTTGTTGTATGTATTGTATGACTATGTGTAATTTGTTTTCATCTCTTGTCTTGGACATTATATAAGGAGAACCCGACATTTTGCATCACACTTGTGTGTTTAATTGTAATTTGGTATGCAAGCATATGAGGTCATAATTTGGTATGCAATTATTAAAAAATACATGCTTTTTCGCCCCTTATGGATATGAAACTATGCTCCGTTAATGTCCGACGATTGCCTCGGAAAACATGTCTTATTCAATAGAATAGTTGTGGAATCGTGCAAAGAGTCAGTCATCAAGTGCAGAACGGCAATATGGCTCCCGGTTAATTTTCAATTGGTTTGTGTAGGTCATTTGGACGGGGTAATAGGTCAAATCTGGCACTCTGTGTATTGGCCTCACTCAATTTGACTCATATGATATATATTGTTTTAATTTTTGTAAATACTTTTTTTTTTATCGAAAAAAAATTACGTAAATATATTTATGTGGCAAATATTTATAACTTAATCAGCGTTTTTCAACCCGATCAGACCGGGTGGGTCAACCCTGAGGCGGGATCAATTTGGGTGGGTGCTTCGGACCCGATAAGAATGGACTCAGTCAAAGTTGGTCAACCTGAGCATTGACCATTCCGAGTTAACTCGGTTTGACCCCGGTGACTGCATATTTTTTTCTATATTAAAATATTTTCTATTTTATAAATAAAATAATATAATATAAGAGGTATCACGATGGAACCGGTGGTCAAAGGCTAGTATGGGTCAGTTACTCGGCCGGATTTATAAAAAACACGGGCCAACTGCAAAGTTCTTTTGCCAAACAGGCAAACAATAATATACTTAGCTAAGGTTTATTTACTCGGCCCCATCTTTCTTTCACATTCTAGTGGGGGAGAGAGAGAGAATTCGAAAATTAAAATAAGCAGAGAAAATAAAAGAGCCAAAAAAAGTAGAAAGCAGTGCAGGGGAGGTGCTGAGAAGAAGACCGTACAACAATGGGAGCAATGGTTCCTCCTTATTGGGTGCCAGAAGACGACGTGTTGCTGAAAAGCGCCGTCGAGGTATTGTAACTTGTTCAAGAACACTTTTTTTACCGATTCTTTTTCCGGCAATTTTATGGGCAAGTTGATTTCTTTTCCCGTTCTTTCTTTTTTTTTTTCTCTGCTGGGTTCAGTTCTTGAAAAACCCATGTCGGTTATGTATTGATTCTGAGTTCTTTAAGATGGAGGGGGAAAAGAAAGGGGTCTCGATTTCTTGAGAACTGAGTTAATTTTCGTTTCTTGATGAGAAATGAATGAATGGTGCTTGTTTCACGCATTTCTGAAATATTTTGGTTGTTGATTGTACACGGTTTTAATCCTTTGATTTTGTTGTTTCAATTGGGGTTTTAGCCGCGGAAGCTTTGATTTCTCTGTTTTCTGCATGGGGTGGGAAATGTTCAAGCTTTGTGCGTTTTGGACATGGTTTTGTTGTTTATATGATTCCTCCTGATGGTTGGAGAGAGAGAGAGAGAGAGTTTATGTGTGGCAACTGACAACTAAATAAATAGGACATGTAACTGACATTCTTATGGGTGAAGGAAATGTAATTAAACTTTGTGAAGAGGTAAAATCCGGTGAATCTGTCGACATATCTGTTAAAAATGAACCCTAAGAAATGCTAGCAGGAAAAGTAGTTTTGCTTTGAAAAACAGCTTGTCATATTCAGTGAATTAGTTTTAGTAAGTATTAAACTCTAGGGTTTAATGGATTGAATGAGTGATTCCAAATCTCATCGTCATGAGTCATGATACATTTAATGAATAATGTATGGTGCATGGTGAACATGTTGATTACTATTAAAAAATGCAGAATCTGGTCGTTGTAATATGAAATGATGAAACATGTGCAGTGTATCAAAATAGTTGAAATAGTGATTTATATGGAAAGTTTATTAAAGTTAATAGGGGCAAGTAATGACAGAAGTGGCTTTCATTGAATCATGTCAACTTTTTTGCTCTTGTAATGACCCATTATAGTTAAGTTTGATTTTATCCATAAAGACTGACCATAGATGGTAATTCATATGCACAGAATAACTACATAATTTTTATTTTTTTTTCCCCAACCCTTCACCAGGCTGGTGCTTCCTTGGAATCTCTTGCTAAAGGTGCCGTGCAATTTTCTCAACGGTATACCGTTAACGAACTTCAAAACCGCTGGTTCTCTCTTCTCTATGATCCAATGGTTGTCACTGAGGCAGCCCCTCATATGTTAGAGATCTTGCGTTCAGGATTCGTAATGCAGCCTTCCCTCACCTCAGGGAAGAGAAGAAAAGTCGAGCGCATCCGAAAATGTTATTATGCCTTGCGTAAAAGAATTTTTAATGAACCACTCGAAATCCAAGGCCCGAACTTTGATGTCAGGCCCGAGACATCTCCTGAGCTCGGGCCTCAGTCCCTTAATGATCTTCAGTTTGGTGAACAAGCAGTTGCTCATGACCTTTCATTCAGTTACGAGGACAATAATGATCTGTTCGAGTCTAAGGCCCGTGTGGAGGGCCCATTTCGTAATTTCGCGTGCTCCTCCTCCACGATGCCTCAAATCTGGGAGCAGGACCAAGAAATGGCCGGGGACAATTTCGTAATTCCGCCATCGTGCGATGCGAATGTGACGATGGAGACCTATTTGGCCGAGCTGTCCGATAAATTGTTTTCAGGTGATGACCTTCTCTTCTCGGATAGTAGTGTGAATGATGATGTCGACATGTCTTATTACGAAGGGTTTTCCTCACTTTTGACATTCGATATTCCTCCAAGTCGAATTGACTCACAGCATTTAGTCTGTTGTGAGGATCCTATTAAAGATCTTGGGCCTGAATACAAAAATGGGGTCATTTGCTGCATGTTGAATACTGAGGACCCGGAAATACCCAGTAATGAGGATGTGTTCCTCCCAATCAGTTTGAAGATTGATAATGTGAATTTGGAAATCCCAAAGGTTGGATTGGAGAGTGGTGAGTTGAGTTGTCGAAAGAAAATTGATTTTTTGCCGAGAGTTGATGAGTCTTGGGTATTGGATATGGAAGAGTGGTCAGAAAATGATGTGCCTTGTTTTTCTGATGTTGAAGCAATGGTAAGAAAAAAGCTCGAGTTTTTTTCAAGATTTTTTTGTATTTCTTTT